CCAGTGGAAAAGTACTTCTTAATATGATTTTGACTTTTCCCCTTATAAATGTGGGCACTTTTATCAACACATCTCTATAGTCAGTTGCAGGCTTCTAATTGTCACTCATTCTACTTGCTAATGACTACAAAATCCTAAAGAACATCCTACACACATCTCAGAGGTTCTACATATGCAAATTAAAAGTAATTTTAATGCTCAAGACAGTGAAACAAGTGAGTAGATTATCTACCACCATAATTATTCCTACATCATAGGCAATATGTTTCCCAGGCAGATAAATTCAAAATGCTAATTTCCCAATGGTAAGTATGCACGATTTCATCTTGGGTGATTTGAACTGAAAAACAATTATGACTCTATGATGAATTTTACAGTGCACCATTTTCACCTGGATGTTTCACTATCACCCTCAATTCCACTTATCGAAGTCTGAATTCAGTATTTTTCTTCTCAGAGGCTGCTTTCCCAATTTTCCTATTTCTGTGAATATTGCCACTATTAGCCAAGTTGCCCAAAAAGCAAAATTTGAGTTCTCTGAGACGTCTCTGTCTTCTTCATCTCTTAAGCATCTTTGTTATCATAACCTGTCAATTCTTCCTTTCCAATAGCTGTAAAATTAAGAATTCCCATGCTACTCTCATCTCATTCCAAGCGATTATCATTTCCACTTATTCAGTTTAGCCTACAAATATTTACTGGCCATCAACCATGTGCCGGGCTCTGCGCTAGGTGCGAGGGATACAACGATGAGCAAAGAAAGGCGAATCCCTGCCCACATGGCACAGTGGGGAAGACAGGCCCTAATCAGCACACACAAGTGCGAAACTGCAGCTGTGACCAGTACTGTGAGGAAGCCGTATGAGGTGTCAGAAGGCCTAGAATGGGCTATGGTCACAGAAGCCAAGGGAAGTAGGCTTCCCTGAGAAAGTGACACATGGGCTGAGATCTGAAGGCTGAAAAGAAGTTAATTGGTTGAAGAAGAATGGGAAGAACATTCTAATTAGAGGTAATGGGACATCTACGTTGGTCTTGTAGTGGGAAAGTGAATGCCAAGTATTGGAGACTGAAACAAGGTGGTGCACTGAAGCCCAGAAAACAAGGGGAAAACGTCACACAAAGTGTGGCTAGAGAGGTAGGTAGGGAACAAACCGTGCATAGATTTATAGGCTGTATTAAGAAAACTCTTTTTTTTAAAACCTATGAGTAGGGAAATCCACTACAGGGAGCTGAGTGTAAGAATGTGTGTGTGTGTGCGTGTGTGACATGATCAAATTTACATTTCAGAAAGATCGTTCTAATCGCAGTATGGAACAGATTGGAGGAGGCCTTAGAGTAGAAGCAGAGTCCAGCTGGGAGGCTACTGCAGTAGTCCAGGTCAGAGACTGATGGTAGGTTGGTAAGTGCTAGAGACAGAAAGAAACAGATGGAGTCAAGAGATATTTAGAAGATAAGATCCATAGGACGAGATTATAGGTGGCAATGGCAGATGAGAGGGAAAATAAAGGAGACAGAGGGAGAGGGATGGTGCTGAGGGAATACTGAAAGATGACCCAGTTTGGAGAGAAGATAATGAATTCAAGTTGGGGGCATATCGAGTCTGAGGTATTCGTGACATATCCAAGAGATGATGTTAAGTAAGCAATTGATCATATAAACATGGAGCTCAGAATAAAAATCTGGTCTAGAGATATAACTTAGAGATTCAAGTGTGTATGGGTGTGAATTGGAATCCTAGGTGTGGAGAATAAGAAGAGAAGAGGTGCTGGGACCAAGCCTTGGGAACGTTAATATTCAATGGTCAAGTAAAATAGGAAGAGTCTGCAAATGAGAGAGAGAAGGAGTGGCCCGACAAGTAGGAGAAAACTCAGGAGCACCTTATGTCATGGAAGTCGATGACAAGAGTATTTAAGAAGGAGGGCATGGCCAACACATAGTATTTGTCTATTTGGAGGCCATTGGTGGCCTTGGTGAGTGCTGTTCAGTTGAATGATGATGGCAGAAGCCAGATTAGTATGGACTAGAGAATGGGGTAGGTGTGTGGAGAAAGCCAGATAGATAAAGTTTTTTTCAAGAAGTTTGGCTGTGATGGGGAGGAGAGGAATTAGACAGTATCTGTGGAGGGATTTGGGGCTTTTACTTTCTCTTTTTTATTAAAGTACCATTGATATATAATCTTATGTTGGTTTCAAATATACAGCACAGTGGTTACCCATATTATTAAATCCTCACTTCCACTAGTGCAGTTACTATCTACCAACGTAGTGAGATGTTACAGAATGGTTGACTATATTCTTGCTGTACTACCATCCCCATGACCAACTTATATTGTGATTGTGAATTATTATGGCCCTTTATCCCCTTCACTGTCCCTGTCCACCTGCCTCAACCCCTTCCCCTTGGTAACCACTAGTCCCTTTTCTGTGTCTATGAGTCTACTGCTATTTTCTTCCTTCTGTTTTGCTTTGTTTTTATACTCCACAGATAAGTGAAATCATATGGTATTTATCTTTCTCCACCTGGCTTATAGAACCTAAGTGTCCATTGACAGATGATGGATGAAGAAGATGTGGTCCATATACACAATGGAATATTATTCAGCCATAAAAAGAAAATAAATCCTCCCATTTGCAACAACATGGATGGAGCTAGAGGGTATTATGCTCAGTGAAATAAGCCAGGGGTCTTTACTTTTCACTTCAAGAGACTGGAACATGTTTAAATCAGGAGGGAAAGGCTCCTTAGGGGAAGGAGTGATGACTGCTGGTGTAAGGTTTCTGAGATGGTAGCACAGCTAAGTTTCTATGTGATAACTGATGATTTTTTTCATATGAAGTACCAGACCCAGTTACTTGATAAACATGTGGGGGTTGAGTTTGAGAATGGGGAAGGTTTTAAATAGTTATTTCAGAGAGTAGGAGCATAAATTGAACAGAGAAAAGTAACAGGATGGCTGGACAGTGTGAAGGGCCTTTTTGAGACTGGTGATCATGAATCAATAGAAATATTAATTCATCCTCTTATTTGACTGTATCCAGGAGGGCTTGACTGCTCCAGGGCAGGTATGGAGGCAAGGGCTAGTTGGGTCAGCACAGAGTTGGCGGGTTTGACGTGGGGAGGACTCTGTCATCCTCCTAAGGAGTCTCCTCGCCTTCAGTTTCTTCCCATTCCTACCCATCCTGTACAAGGTCATCAAATTCGTTTTCCTTGCAGTGACTCTTCCTCAACTCACTCTACTTGCTCAAGAATCTACATCCTTTTAAATGGTGTAGATGTTTAGAGCACAGACGATAGAACTTGGTTTGAATTCCAAGTGTGAACTTGAGCAATTCATGTAATTTAATATACTCTGTTTCTTTAACTTTAAAAATAGGATAATTGTGGTATCTATCTTATAAGGTTATTAGGTACATTAGAGGAGACAGCATGTAGCACAGTGCTTCACTTGTAGTAAGTGCATGGAATCTGCTATATTATCTTCTCTTATCTGTGTCTCCACACTTCCTTTCTGATCCCATCCTAGTCTGACATTCTTTCTCACTCCTATCCAGTATACTCCCTCCCAGCTAGACTGATCTTTTCAGTGCCTCCATATTCATTGCCATGTGTTTCTGCTTTCTCTACCCAAAGACCCCACCATTTCTCAAAGGCCCACTTCTTCTAAAAGAAAGCTTCCTCATTGGCCTGAAGGCAGTATTCATCTCTCACTGCACCTATGTCCGATTGCATTTTAGAGATTTGAAACCTGATTATATTCCACTCTTCACTTTATTATAAACTGTATTATAATTCTATTGTGTCTTTTGTTTTGTTTTAAAAATGTTATGTTATATTTTGTCCAGAAATTTTTCAGTAATGTAAGACTTTTCCAATAAGAATGTAAGACCTTTGAGGGACAGAATCCTGCCATAAATTCTACATTTATCACAGGACCTAGAACAGTATTCACAATACTTATTAAATTTAATTGACTCTAATTTGAGACATAAGCTAGGCTCCAGTGATCTTCAAAGTGGGGTTCACCATTCTAGGAGATACACAGACAATACATTAAGACTGCAGCAAGGAAATACTGTAAAACTGCTATTTATTTATTTCTCCTTGTATGTTTATAATGTACATAATACAAATTTTAATTATATATATGCATGCATACACTATTGATAAACAAATATATATATATATATACACACACACACACACACATAAGTGGTGCATGTTCAAGATTTTTAATCGTGGGGTTCCAGATAAAAGCATTTTCGATCTATAGTGTTTAGATGAGAACTAGAAATTTGACCAAGTCTAAAATAGCAAGACTTCATTAAACACAGTTAATTGGTTTGAGTACTCACTGTGTGCCAGGTGCTATGCCAAGTGTTTTACATGCATTAACTCAATTCTCAAAACAATTTTAGAAGGTAGGTGTTATTATCTCACATTACAAAGGAGGAAATTGAAGCACAGAGAGGCTAAGTAAGTAGGCTCAGGTTCCATAATGAATAAGAGATGGAGGCAGGATTTAAAACTACATCTACTTGAATGCAAAATTGGTCCTACTTTTGGGAAGATTTTTAACTACATAATCCAATTTCTTTAATAGATATAGGACTATTCAAGTTCCATATTTCTTCTTAAGTGAGTTTTGATAACTTGTGTCTTTCAAGAAATTTGTTCCATCTCCCAAAGCGAATCTTCCTAATCACTGCATTACTCTAGCATGCATCCCTCTTTTAAGAGTGCCTGTATTTTTTTATGGAGACACTATAGAGTGGATGTCCTCCTACTTGCCATTTAACCAGGGCCTTATTATGAGAACTACATAGAGATTTTAGAAAGTAGAAAATTATCTTAAGAAAAACCAAGTAATCAAGTGATTTGATTACATCTGATACATACCTCCTCTTAAAAACATGAGAAAAAATTGTAGAGCTTTTTCGTAAAGAATTGTCTCTGATTTCTGAAGTGGAACCCCAAATAATACATGCTTTCTAATTTTCCAGTTGTTTCTGAAAATATAACCCTTCAAGAAAGAAGTACAACTCTTTCACAGCAAATAGATTTGACGACTCCATCCCAAGTTACCGGACTAAAACCACAAAAGACTGTATATTCTTCTACACTGATGTCTAAAAGCATGCCTGTATTTGCAACTGATTACACAACCATATCCTATTCCAATACAACATCCCCACCCCTGGGAACTATGACTGCAACAAATACTTTAAAGACACTCAGAGCTGAGACAGCTACAGTCACAGCACGTGCTCTGTCTACATCAGCAGCCATCACTCTGCCTACTGAGAGCACCTCCACGGGCACTACCACCACTTCCATGAAAGGAACTAAATGGTCATCTCCAGAGAGCACAAGGACAACAAAAATGCCTGCAGCCTTTGCTACTGAGAGCTTTCATCCGACGACAGCTTTCAACTTCCTATACACATCCGGATTTCCCAAAAATTCAGTTGTATCTGAAACTTCAGTGACAGAGTCTAAGTCGGCTGTTATGATGACAACATCTTTGTCCTCATCTATTGAGTCAACCTCCATGTCTACAACATCTTGGCCCAAACACAAATCCACGGGTATTGGGGCCCTCCTTATCTCCACAGCTAGCCAGGGGTTTCCTGCATCCACAGCCGCTGAAACTGTACCTTGGTCCACGGTGGGACAGAGTCCAGCTGCAACGACTCACACTGGAACATTGTCAGCATTCCTGCCTGAGTCTGTGCTCATCTCCACTGCTATGCCAGTGGACTCTGCGTCTCCTAGAAATCAGATGGCATCTACATTGGCAGCAACAGATATGGAAATACCATTTACAGTTCATTCAGAGATGCTCCCAACTAGGTATACTGAGGCGACGCCTGCGCTAAGAGCAGCATCGACGCCTACAGATGTCCAGGGTGTCTCTTCACCCAGAGTGGAGGTTACAGTACCTACCTCCATACCAAAAGAGGCTTCTTCTATCAGGACAGCCTCTCCACTCACCGTAGCTCTGAGTGCAGAGACAGTTAGTGATGCTGAGACTACACATACAGCCTTGACTCCTGGAATCACACTTGTACCTACAATGACTGGAACTATGATTTCCCCCAAAATCACAGGGCCAGTGTATACCCAGAATACACCCACAGGTGGTGAAAACATGTTTCCTTTGATTTCTACTAGACCAGCCTCCACATCTGAGGCATCTGAGCCTGGTCCTACATCAATAACTGATGAAGGTGCCCATTTATTCTCCACCAATGAGACCCCTTGGACTTATGGTCCAGACCAGACCTTGATGACATCAGCAATGCATGAAAATACTTCTAATACAGAACATTCAACCACCACTACTAATATTATCATCCCACCAGAAGCATCTACAGAGAGTGAGGCTACCACTACCGCTGATGCTGTTATTACTGCTGATGCTGCTACACACAGATATACAACAGCTTTTTCCAAATTGACAACTCCATGGTTTGCCGATTTCTCCACAGTTTCTGGAACCACATCTGTAACCAAGCTGCCTGAGTTTAAACTTACCACCTTACTACTAAAAACCACCCCTTGGTCCACAGTGGCTGGAACTGAACTTCTTTCAACACCAGGGGAGGCAGTTGTTCCACCAGCAGGTGTAATGCCCACCCTTGCTGACATTGAACCAAATTTTACCACTAAGGAGAATGCTTCTGGGACCACACAAACAGAGACAAACAGTAAAATTACATTTGGAGAGGCAGCAGCCCCTGTATCAGAGACTGCAACAACACACAGATTCGATGCTACTGTGACAAGGAAAGAAACAACTTCTCATTTTCTTAAGGGAAAATCGCCTGTAGCAGCCACAACCGACATTTCTCCATTGGCAACAATGCCGGAGGCAACCGATGAGTCTGCACAAATGGGGACAGATTCGGTCACGGATCCCCCTTTCCCTGACACAGGAAAGTTGACTGCCTCGTTGGATAATAAAACTGCAACTACTGTGGTAAGAGGAAATTGGCTTTCTACAAAATTGCTGAAAACCACACCTAAGAGTTCATACAGTAGAACTACAGAAATCTTTAATTTAACTCACATCTACACAGGACACTGGACTTCAGAGATGCCACCTGAGAGGAATCCAACTCCGTCTCACACTTCTTGGGACACACAGACTTTTCCAGAACCCCTTGGTGCTTCCACCACAAGGATATTGGGCACCAGTTTGGCCACTATCTCTACAGACAGGACAGCTAAGTCCTCACCTGCTGGTATCTTGCCTCCACACGATACCGCTACCCATTCCTCAGCCACCCTTCTGCCTATTACCCATACCATCTCATTGCCAGTTAATGTCTCTGCTGTCACCTCTATGGGTGTGTCTGAGAAGACTACAATTACCATGCCTGAGCCTTCTACACTGGCCAGGGCTTTCTCCACATCTATGCTCTCAGGTATCTCCACTCTGCCATCAACTACAGTGACCACAGCATCGGTGCCACCACTGGATCAGACTGCTTCCACAATCAGCAGTACTGTGCCTACCCTCAGAGACTCAGTTCACACCATTTCAGAGGCCATGGTGATCTCTGTCAGGATGACACCCATGGCAGTTCCCTCTCTGACAGAATCTCCAGGCCCCTCACTGAGACCTCCCACTCCTGTGGCAACTAAGGCTGAGGCCACTCTTTCCTCCACTTCAGTTGACACAGTAACCCCATCCACACCCACCCTCACCTGCTCTAAATCTCTCCCTGACTGCATTCCTGTTCTGTCCTCCACTCATGTGATCTCAACCATGTCTATACCACTAGCAACCCAACCCATATTTCAAATGGAGGAGACATCTACCCAGGCTCTGAGTTTTCCATATGCTTTCAGTGGTAGTGGAGATGTTAGCTTGGCTAGTGGCACCACAGAAGCTTCTGCTGTTGATGAGACCACACTCTCACATTCCTCTGCCAACAAGCTTACTACTTCAGTAGATGGTCACATTTCTCAATCTTCCACACATCATGTAAACACACTGGTCCCCACCCTATTTGTGACTGACATTTCTACCTTATCTTCTCACAAAGAGCAGATGACCAGTTCCCTGGGAGATGGCCCTAGAACTATGGAGGTGACAGAAATGTCTCCATCAAAGAATCCTTTTATTTCAGATTCCCAGAGTACTTCATCCTTGGAAATGACAGATACAGGATTTGCTGAGACAACAACAATTTCCAGTCACTTAACGCATTCCCCTTCAGAGATTCCACTTGTGACTCCACCTGATGAGATTTCGGCTTCATCTCTCCTTTCTGGGATCACACAGACTGCACCTAACTTGACCTCAATTAACACAGTAGATGTTCACATTTCCAAAATGTCTACCAGTCTTGGGGAAACAGCTCTCCCTTCACAAGCTCTGACAGTTACCACAGTTTTGTCTCCTGAAAAAGAAAGCATGAGTGCCCTTCCAGTCTATACTCCCAGGACTGAGAAAATGATAATAAGCTCCACCGCTGCAACTCACCCTTTCTCACATCGCCAGGATACTTCATTTGTAGATATCAGAACTTCCAGGACAACCAGAATATCAAATCCTGCAAACACTGATATAACTCTTTCACTCTTGCTTTCATCTAGGACTCAAACTAAGGTGACCTCAGCTGCCTCTCCCATTTCTGAAAGCCCACAGACCTCCCCTGAGTCTCTGTCTCTTTCCACAACTAGTCTATCTAATGCCAGTCTTACTGACAGGATCACTACAGTCCTTTCTGCTCCAAATGTACCTACAGCACTTCATGGGAAAACCTCTATGACAATGTCCATTCCTACCTACCAGGTGTCCTCATTGCCAGTTACTGCCACTGCCCTTGCCTCCAAAAGAGTTTCTGGCACTCCCACAACACTAATGACTCAATCTTCTAAAATATCATACCCAGATTGTTTCAAAAGCCCCTCTATGGCCACATCTGCACCTATGTCCTCAATGTTAGTTAACAACTCTGTTTTCTCACCTCCAGCTGCTTCTTCTGACACTTCCACAACTGTTGGTTTATTCTCTACTTTATTGTCTTCACTTAGCCCTAGGACTACCATGACCATGCAGACATCTACACAGGGTGTCACACCTGTGACAAATGCTGGGCCTACTTCAAAAAGCACAATGTTTGCCTCTGTTTCCATTACTTCAGAAACGACAGAGGTGTTCTCCAGGATCACACCTACATCTTTTTCCTTTCCAACAGAGCCAAATGTTCCTTCTGTGAAAACTATTCCAACCACTGGGATAATGACTCCATTCGGAGGCACCCGTGCCTCCTCTTCACTCAGTTCTAAAAGCACTGGAACTCTTTCTTCCATTCCAAAGACCGCATTTTCACCATTTCTATTAACAACCCAACAGTCATCACAAGGAGATGAGGCTACAACTCTGGGCACATTATCTGGGACTACTAATGATTCCCTGTCTACTGGAAGCAGTGGTAGAGGAACAGCTCTCACAAATACTTATTCCAGACTTGCTGCCCCTGAAAGTGTGCTTTCATCTACTCCTTCAGATGACCTCCATACTTCTTGGAATATTCAGGCTTCCCCATCTTTGGCCAGCTTTAAGAGCACTTCTGGACCCACGAGAAGTGTAAAAACCACCACTTACCTTTCTTTGGATACAGGAAAGATGACTTCCTTGTCAGAAAATATGGCTGAACTAACAAAAGGTGTCACATCTGTAAATATCCCTGTTTCATACCCTCCATGGACTCCATCCAGTGTAACTCCACCCTCTTTGACATCGGTTCTTTTTTCACCTCATAGTACTAAGGTTGAGTTCTCTACTCTAAGGTCTTTTCTTGATCCTACATCCCAAATGGCTGAATTTCCAGATCTGGGAACAAGAACCACATTTAGTAACACCCACTCTCTGCTTATGACTTCCTGGAACACACCCACAGCTAAAGACTCTCAATTTCCCATTTCCATCACTGCTCCCGTACCTACTCCCAACAAGATGGAAATGGAGACTCTGTACACTGTTCCTGGGTCTTTGTCAACATCTGCGGCCTCTCATACTGGTCTTACATCTGGAGATGCTATGGCAGTGTCACCAATTTCCACATCAGGAATTCTTCCTACCTTGCAGATATCTGAGAGCCCTTCATTATCAATATCCTCAAGATCTATCTCAACCCCTTTAGCTGACACTAAGCACACATTTGAGAAGACAACCACATATGTAACTCCTGGGACCATACTCCCACTGAATCCTTCTGGTGCCACTTCAGGATCTATCATTTCAAAGACTTCTACTTCACCCATGCTGACTTGGATCTTATCTAGCCTCCCTTCAGGTTCCCCTCTGCAAACTGTATCCAATACTCCTCACATTACAACTTCCTCTACAGTAGAGGTGTCGAAATCCACATTTATGACTTCTGACATGACACCAACACACCCATTCACTGACTTTACATCACTACCCTTTGCTACTGTAAGTCCCATTCTCGCCAAAACCAACCCTACACATACAGTGGGAGATATCACTACTGGCTTCTCAACTTCTTTCCCTCTGTCTATAAAAATCACAGATGACAGTGTATATACTTCCAAACCCTTGGAGGCATCTTCCAGAACCACTGTGACTGCCAACCCCGGGATTGTGTCTCATCCTCCATACTTTAGCAAAACGAATGAGTCACCTCCTACCACTAACCACACCCTATCTACAAGTTCTATACCTCTGCTGAGCTCTAGAGCAACATCTTTTTGGAGCAAAATCCCAGCTGAATCAGCATCCTCTACTTTAATTCTTCCTAAACCCACACTGGACTCCCTTCCAAATATAACCACCACTACATCCACTACTAGTGGATCCTCATTTCCACTCATATCCACTAGAGTAGCACATCCTTCTACATCAACCGTGTCTTCACTAACCTCTTCCTCTTTTGAGATGACGTGGCTGGGCTCCACACCTTCCTTTCTATCTACGGAAAAGACTTCAACTATTGCTGCTGAGTCCACAGGTATGTCTCACAATACATGCTGTGTGTCACTAAGAAAATGCATGCACAACAGGCCATGTGTTCTCCAAGGTGGCCAGTCCTTGGAAGGCAGAGAAGATAAAGTAAGGTACAGGTGTTTCTTATCTCCTTCAGAGAGTGGGTACCTTGTCCAAACACAAAGGTGTCTGGTCATCTTGCTTATCTTTGCCTTATTGAAATAGAATGCAAATGTAACTTCTCACTCAGTATGACATTTTTAGTTCCATTCATTTTGTTCCTGATGCTCTAACTCTGACTCTGCCAAAGTGAACATGGATCAGGAACCTCACCTCCTTCTCAGTCAGAGGATTATATGGCCTTAGGCCTGCCATGTTGACCACATACCAGAAAACATCAGAAATATCCTGGCCTGCCTTTTTGAATTCCTCATATACAGGCCTCAGCCTTTTCCAGTCTCTACTTCCAGCTGGCTTAGGATGCTTATTTGTGGCCAAAGAGTATTTGGCTTACATATCATTCAAGTTTTGGATGTTCCTTTAACTTTTAACATTCCCAAACTGAAATTTGGTGGGACAGACAAGAGAAAGAGGGAAATGGAGAAAAACCTGAAGCAGGAAGAAATAAATTTTTGTTAGTACAAATGATCCTGTGAGTTAATGTTCAGCTTGGCCATTAAATGGACTGGAAATCTGTCAGCCAATAAAAATTGAGGATTTGGGGGATTTATAGAATGTCCCTCAACTGTGTGGAAATCAGGGAACTGCCCAAATAAAGCAAAAATGCAATGGTTCATCCTGTTTGCTTTTGCACATGGAGCTCAAAGTGCTGGTTCTTGACCTCAAATTAAACAAAGTTTAAGAATGAGACTTCATTGTTTGGTTTTCTTAAAATGAGCAATTTTGACCAAAGTTATCAGAGTTTAATTTCTTGAACTAAATGAATGAAATTAATCTCCTTATTTTTAATTACAGTGTCCTTCTACAATATTGAAATGAGCTTCTCTGTCTTTGATGAACAACCGAGGATTCCTATTACCAGTATTATAAGTGAATTTGCAGAAATTTGGGTAAAATAATCTTTTGGATATTTATGGTACATATAAAATATGTGAATATATGTATGTATATATAAAATATATGACAACGACTGAGTAGATTAAAACTAGGCTTTACTTTTTTTCTACCCATAAAACATTTCACAGCTAATTGGTTTTGATTTTTTTGCTGCAAATTTATCCATTCTGTAAGTAAAACCCTGAGGATGTATGGAGTCTTTTATAGTGCCAATGCTAAATGCTTTTGTGGAATATCATTTTAATTTGTTTAGGACTGTACATTTCCCTCCAGTGACAAATTCTGGGCCTTTGCCAAACTTTCCTATTTGAGGAAAGTAGGAGAGCAGTGATAAAGTCCCTGCCATTGTATATAAATATTTTTGTTTTGTGCGTTTTACTTTTTTCTCTCTCTTACCCAAGAAATGTTTCCTTTATCATTATATTTTTCTGATAAAAAGAATAATACATACTCCCTGTAAAAAGTTCAGACACTGAAATCTGAAACTCGGAAAGTCAGTTCTGGCAGGGTTGGTCTCTGGTCAGGCCTTTCTCCTTTGCTTATAGAGGCCCACCTTCTCGCTGTCTCCTCACACAGCCCTTACTGTGTGTATGCACAGAGAGAGAGACAGCTGGTGTTTCTTCCTCTTCTTCCAGAGACACCAGTCCTATCAAATTAGAGGTGATCTCATTTAGCCTTCATTACCTGCTTAAAGGCCCCATTTCCAAATAACAGTCACATTAAGGGGTTAAAGGTTCAACCCCTTGGGAGGTGGGGGTGGTAGTAACACAGATGGACACACAATCCAGCCCACAACAGTAGATAAAACGTAAATTGAAAACCCAAGTGGTAAGAGGGAAATCTGGAACTATCTGAAGTGATGAATGCAGCTTAAGGACCACATCCTCTCAGGAAACTTTGCTGGGTTGGGATCCAGGAGTGGGAATCCTGAAACTGATGTTTTGTCTTTTCCAGTTGAATTCTATATTTCAGGACAGCGAATTTGCTCTTGCTAATCTGGCTATCCAAATTAAAAGCAGGTATGTGAGTGTCCTCTACTGTAGGTTGAAGGGCAGTTTGAGGGATATCAGGGTCTGTTCCTATTGAGAGGGGACTCCCTTTGTGTCTGAGATTTAGGGGTTGCTGCATTTTGAGTATGTCTTCCCTTCTGAGTGTAGGTTCTCTTTAGAATGAGAAAGAAATTGGTATTATTGCTGCAGGGTATAAAGTCAGTGGGAGAACAAAACAGAAGAAAATAAGAGGGGAAACCATGGAATTGGACTCAGTTTTCTCTAATGCCCCCTTTAGCTTTAAAATGCTATGATTCTGTGACTTAGGAAAAAAATCATGCCTTAAAGGGGTGACAGACTAGGGATGGCCAAAACATGAGGTTTTATGAGGCCTCAAATTTTGGGGTAATGCACTTTTAGGAATTAGAAATTCCAAAGGTAACTTGAAATGTTTAAAGTGAGGGATGCTGCCTGGCCCAAGACTTGCCTGGCAAGGTGGATGCAGTGACAGCAGCAGGCACTGAGTAGTAGGAGACCAGGACAAAGGCCGTGGGTCATCTGAGAAATATTTCCTCTGTTCTTGGCCTGCACATATACTAGTTCTCTGATGAAGGATTATCCAGAAGAATCCCTCTGAAAAGTAGGCATGGCTCTGGTGTTCCATGGTAAGCGGATTTTTAAGCCATTAAACGTGACTGCCTATCTTCCATACACTGGGATTTCAGTTTCTCTTGAATTTCAAATACAAATATTTCAAGAAAGTTCATAGAAACTAATGGAAATACATTCCCGGTAGGTTATTAAAAGAAAGTTGGGGATGTCAGGAGTATACAAAATTCTTTTAAAAATTGTGTTTATTACTTTTCCTTGTTATAAAAGTAACATGTGTCCACTGTAAAATCTTAGCGTTTTATAGAAATATGTAACGTGGATGTCCAGAACCAAAAATGTCCAGAAACCTACCTTTCCCCACCCGCTCCAGGAACTCTGGTTAGCAGCTTATTTTATGTATTCCTCCAGACTTGTTGCCATGTATTTACTAAGAGAATGGGATCCTACTCAGCATACTGTTTTATAACTTTCCATTCTTGCCTTAGAACATATCATGTACTTCTTTTCAGGCCAATACATACAGATTTAGCTTATTCATTTTAATGGCTGCATAGGATTTTTTGTATGTATGTGCCATGGTGTATTTATCCAATCACCTAGTGATGGATAATTCAGTTATTTCCACTCTGATGCACATATTTCTATGCACTTTTGCTGGTGCTCTTATGGGACTGATTTCTGCAAGTGGAATTGCTGAGTCAAAAAGGCTTACCACCACTTTGGTATGCAAATAGTGACTAAGCTCTTTTGAAGCGCGTCGTTGGAGCCCTAGTATTACTTGAATTTCAAGCTGGGAGAGTCTACGGCTCTGCTTCTGAGTCTTTCACTTGAACTTGTGCTCTCATGTATGTGGTACTATATTTAATTTTTCTTTAATTTTTGATGCTCTTGATGCAGGGACACTTCTGAGGGAAAAATGACCATGGACCAAACTTTCGTAAGTAATTTTTCCAAATGCATCTACTTGTAACCCATCGTGTACCTGATTAGATATAAGTAAATAGCTCTTCCACCCAAGTGTATGTTATCAGGTAAGGCTCAGGTGGGGTAACTGAAGGCCAAGTGACATTACTTTCTTTAGGATATGCACAAGAATCCTTTAAGAAAACCATTCTCTGCTTTTCCAAACTATCGAAGTGGCAGCTTTTTGAGGCATATTTTGTGGGCTACGGGGGTGTGGTTTGTAGACATGGGGATTATAAAAGGTAAAGGAAATTTCCTGGTTATAGATTTTTTCCAGAACAGTCTGGTTCTTCCAAGAGTGACACAATTGTTTACAGGACTGGCATTCACACAAGAAATCCTCCCTCTACTTACACAGATTGGAAGTTAGAGTGTGACAAAACTATCTCCCGTCATCCTTGCCCCAGCTCTCAGTACTTATTCTAGTGCCTCGGAGCTTTCCAATGTCAGACTCCGAAATGATTAGTAAGCACACAGCTTTTAAGGCACTTAAATATGAGGTAAATATTTTGACTATACAAAACAGTCAAGCCTACAGTGTTTTACAAGCTATCCGCCATCATTTAAAATGTTTTCTGTAAATAGCTGTGTCAGAATTTCTTATTTAATCCATTATAGATAACAGGACATAACTAAAATTTCTCTTAGGTAGTAGGTGTAAGAGCCTTTTGGTGATAATGTGGCCCTCAGCGTTGGGCTGCCACGGTCAGAATTCCTGCTTGTTCACTACCTGACTGTGAGACCTTGGGTAACTTCATTAATGTCTCTTTGCCTCTGAATAGCCTCATCTGTAAAACGGGGGTAACAACACTACCACTCCTCACAGGGCTGTTGGAAAGACCGAATGGGGCACTTTACGCATAATGCTTAGGACAGGACAGAGAGCGCGGGAATGGTTGGTAGTATTTACTATTGTCAGCATCGTGCTGAGATTCAGATCGAGGAAGCTTAGAGTCGGCTCCCAGTTCTGTGACTCATCAGCTGTGTGATACCAGGCAGACCATTTCAATTCTCTGAGACGTACCTTCCTCATCTAGAAAATGGGTTGACACACCCTACAGGGTTGGTGTGAGGACTAAATACATTGCTGTTTTTCGAGGATGGCTTGCAGATGGCAATGGGTTACATAAATGTAAAATATAATTATGATTGTTGTTGACAATAAGTCTTGTACTCAATTGTGACATTTGTTTGAAGATCTCAATGACTATGTACTTTTCTTTTGAAGCATCATTTGGAACAGAGGAAAGGGCAAGTAATGGCTACAATTTCCCATGTCCCATACAGGTAGGTACTGAGTTTATTTGTAGCTGGTACATTTAGTTCTGATTTTCCTTCCATTTAATTCCATATGTGCAGCCTGGTGGTCATAGCAGTCAGAAGGAGATCAAAGGACCTGGTGGTTATTTTACAGATGCTGTAATTGGGCTCTTGCCTTCATGAAATAAGTTGTTTCGGTTGGTCATGGCACAGCCTAGCAACCTGCCTGCTGCCTCTTTGTAGTGAAGAGAAAATGGGGTCCAAAGTGGTCATAATTTGGGGATGGAAGAATAAAGTGTTTGTTGTCATCAAAAAGCCCATGAAATACTGAGCAAGGAAATTGAAAAACAACATGGAAAGCAGCCTCGGTCCTGTTCAGACTCGTGGTCCAGCTCCTTCTGGAACACTGGCTATTGTCTGCTTGGCTCAACTCAAGAAAGATGTATAGCCAGAGAAAGCTCATGGAAAGGTCATTGAAATGTTTAGGATGCTGAGAGTATAGGGTCTTTTGCAGCCAGAGGGGAGCTTTAAAAAGAGAAGTCCTTTTCAGACAGGAAAGATGAAAGCTGAGAAGAGACAGGCTCCAAATGGAATGGGTAGGATGAGCAAGGACTTCACCAAATATGGATCAGTGGAAGGGAAGGCATGCCTTAGACTGGACATAGAAATCTTCAATAAACACAGGCACAACTGGCTTTGAACAGCTGGTAGGAAACATAGGAAGTGTGTGTTCTTCAAAGGGATGTATTTACAAATGGAAATGGAGAAAAAGTATAGGTAAGTTTGTAAACCTGAAATGTGCTCTGTAACGGAATAGTAGAGGACATGAGAATGTTTGAGGACCTTGCTACAGAGGTCGCGATCCAGGCCAGACTTATTATTTCATAACATATATTTTAGTTGTCAGAATATTCAAAAATGAGATACTGGGTCTTTGTGACTTTGGTTAAGGCTCAGTTCCCTCCTCTGTAGAATGGGGATAAGAATAGCCCTGCCTCATAAGATTGTTGTGAGGATAACATGAATCAAAAAGTGTGGAACGAGAGCTCTACAAATTTTAGCTGTATTATCATTGTCGTCATCATTATTCAGTTATGGAAATAGACCTTCTCCAAAACACACCTTTATAGACTAATTGATCGTGTGCCTATTTGTTGTTGTATTGGAATAATGGTTGCTAAATTGGAGACCAGAGCATAAAATGTTTTTTTCTGAAGTAAAAAACCCTGAGTACTCCATCTCTTCTATTAATCACCACAAACTACTGGAAAAATCACACCCAAAAAATGCAAATGTTGATGACTGTTCTTTTGAAAATGGGTTTTAAGTTGTTTGTTCTGGATATGAGAAAATTTATCAGAAGATTTCAATTGGCTGTCTTCCATCATTTCTTAAGATCTGCTACTTAATATCTGTAAAATGATATTTTTGGACAACCAATTAAGTCATCTCTATAGAATTTCAGCGCCACAGGCCAAGCTGCACTCTGTTGATGTAACTGCAGCATCTTTCTTTCTGGCTCTGCTTTTTAGCTGTGTCTGTTACGCCATCATAAAGGCCAACTCTTCTTTAGCACCCACTGAATTGATCAGCAGGATCAGAAGTAAAATACATGGCAACCTCACACATGGAAACTTCACACAAAATCAGTTGACACTATTAGTAAAGTCTGAAGATGTTGCAGTGAAGAAACTAGGTAACTTTTTTTCTGGGGGTGGGTGGGTATTTCACTGAATTCACTTCTGTGATTATAAAGCTCATAATGCATACGTAGTAAGAGATCCTGAGTACAGAGGGGACAGGGGTTGTCTTCATGTTCTTTTCTACATCCTCAGTGCCCATTTGCCCTGACAATCTTTCTACCTTTAAGAGCTTATAAAAAAAACAGAGTGCCAAAGGGGTTACCAGACACCCTTGGTCAGTTCTGGATATTAGCCATGGCCAGTCATTTGATGGAGTGGGCAGACTGTTTGTCTTGCATAAATACCCAGAGAGCTGGAGAGCTTCCTCATTACACACAAATGGCTGTCCAATAGATACTTGCTAACCGATTAATTTAGACAGCCTCCCTGGAAAGTGATATGGGAACAGTCCAGAATTTCTCCCGTGGGCATTTTCTTTTTGGATTAGCAAGGCTTTAATGGTAAAAGAGAAAGGCTACCAGGCCACTCCACCTCCTTCCCATTGCTGCCAGCTTTCTTCCTTTTCCCCAGTAGACCTCAGGAAAAATATTGTGCAAACCCAGATAACACATGTAGGCATTAGAATGCAGAATCCTTGTGAGTTTTTATTCATACACAGCAGAAATACAACTCCTTACCGGTTCCAATGTGTGTTGGGGAGTGAAGGGGCCTTCCCATGCACAACACCAAGCAATTCTCAAGCACCAGCAGGGTGTCTGAGAACTCAAGCCAATTCTGATGCTATCTGCCCGGAGACAGCACCAGATTCCCCAGGTTAAGGGCTCCATTTTTCAAGAGTGCCCTCCACGCCCCACTCCAGATGCCTGGTCAGAAGCCCCAGGCAGTTCCCTGTGCTTCTGACCCACTGGCTACAGATGGGAGGTTCCCACGACATCCCCCTTAGGTTCAATTAGTTTCCTAGAGCTGCTCACAGAACTCAGGAAAACACTTATGTTTACCAGTTTAATAAAGGATATTGGAAAGGGTAAAAGTTAACAGCCAGATGAAGAGATACACAACAAAGGAGCTCCTATCCTGGTGGAGCTTGGGGCCTGGCTCTGTGACACGTGAAAGCTATCTGGCTCCCCAAGAGGGGAAGCGCTTTCCAGCAGAGAGGCAGGACAGAGGAGATCCATGAGCTTTTCTCAGGGGGTTCTGTGGGGCTTTCATTGCATAGTCTTGATCGACTATATCATTGGCTATTGGCTGATTCAACCTCCAGCCCCCGCCCTTGGGTGGGGGTCCAAAAGTCTCTCATTAACATGACAAGACGCCCATTTCACCTTTAAGGCTCTCAAGTGTTTTCAGGAACTGTGGACAGGACCAGAAATACCTGGGAAATATATATTTGGTCATCTGAATGACCAAATATGTATTTCTTATGACTCATTATAATAGTGCCTTGGCAACAATCTACTTAGGTAGCAGAGGGCAGGGTGATTGCAGCTGGGAGTGAGACAGAGGCAGAGAAGTGTCAATGCCCCAGGCAGAGCCCACCCTGCAAATGATGCTGATGAACATGTCCTGAGGGTGAGAGGAAGGCACCTGTCCACCTCACTCAGAGAGCAGGACTGGGGCAGCTGGGCAAGGCCGGCCGGGTCATTTCTTGGGCCACTCTGTCCACACCTGAGGGAAAGATCTCTGGAATCAGGATCACGAACCCAGTGGGTGGTCAGTAAAAATGGGGAACTGACCACACAAGCTTACCCAGGTCATCTTTCCTTTAATGTGACGACACTTGGCAGCAAAACTTTGCCCTCGACACCAACATCAGAACAGAGCTCCCCTGTCTGTACTAGTAATAAAAGATCCATTGAATTTACCAAAACCAAGTTTGCCTCAGAGTCCCTTAAGAAAGATGCCATCCAGAAAGAGAAGTCTTCAGTCACTGCACCTCAAACAATGGGTGCGACAGTGGGTGCATCAGAAGGAGGGCAGTGGGCAGGTGGGGACGTTTAATTTTTGCTCTACACCCCCTAGTGTGGCTTGAATTTTTTCAATGCATGTGCATCATTTTTAAAAACAAAAACAAAAAAACTGTCCTGTCAACTTGTAGTTTTAATGAACAGGCCTATATGGGAGGCTTATTTAAAAAAAAGAAAAAAAGACTCCATTTAATGCTATTTTCAGTGAAGCCTGGTTTAAATGGCCTGATGGAAAATGTTGCCTCTTTTATTTTCTGATATTTATGTGCATGGTAATAATGATGGGTTATAATGGGTGTTCATGATACTTTTAAGTGCCTTTTGCACTTTAACACGTGTATACATTTTCTCTGTAGAGCCAGGAAAGTGCAAAGCCGATGAAACAGTTTCTAAATACAAAGGGACATATAAGTGGCTCTTAACCAACCCTACCGAGACAGCCCAAACTAGATGCATAAAAAACAAGAATGGAAATGCTACTAGAATCTGGTATGTATTAGTCAAGTTCTAATTGCTACCTCAGATATACCAGGAGCCACTTAATTGGGGGCATGTTTCTGTGTCATTTGTCTAAGCATCCTCCCTCCCTCCCCCTCTGTTGCCAGTCTTTCACCTTTTAGAGCCACTTAAACACACACAGACAACAAAAGGGGAAAGAAGTCACCCATAATCCCACCACACGGGCAAAGCTGTTAATAGGTTGGTGAATTTTTTTATGTAGCCTTTCACTGTAATCACCGTCCTCATGTCAATAAGTAATGAACCCTTTCACTCAATGGTTTATCAGACATTTTCCATGTTTTGCATTCATCTTCTTAATGATCATTTCAAAAAACTGCCTCAGAAGCTACCTCATTGATGGGCCATAATGACTTACTAAATCACTATTTTATTATTGACTTCAATATTTTTCTTTTTAAAATCGTGAGCCTTTCTTGTCTTACTCTCTGCTGCTAATGGCTTGTGCCATTAACTTAAGTGGGCAGACCAGAGGGGCAGCACGTTTTGACGGAGGCTTAAAAGCACTCTTTTGGAAGGCGACATCTTGGACTGGGTCCTACCTCTTCCTCTGACATCTAATCAGGCAGCGAATTACGCAGCTTTTATGGTCACAATGGGAGCACACATCTAGCCTGTCCTTTCCAACCCCACTGCCACTACCCTGGGGCAGGCCCTTACTCTCTCGTCCTTCTACTAGAGGCATCTCCTTGCCTTCTAATTGTCTCCTACCCCGCTATTCTCCATGCTGCTGGCTCCCTGCTTTACCACACGTTCCAGCCAAAAAGGGCCATTTGCCATTGTGGAAGCAATGGGGACTGCCCCGTGGTTTTCTCTCTGCTTGTGCTATGTGCTCTGCTTGAGGGCAGGGCTGGCTTTCTCCATCTCCGTCCTCTCAGCGCCCAGCTCAGCTCAAAAGTTGCAAATAAGTTCTTGCTTGGTGGCTTGATAGAATCAGTTTTGTTTATACAGCTTTTCATCTCATGTCTTGGCTAATAAATGTAGTTCCATTTGCAGTCTCAGACCACCAAATTATAAGCTCCTCGAGGGACAAAACTCGGTCCTATTTGCCTGCACCAGCTGTTACCAGTCCTAGAACACAGTGGGTGCTGAATAAATGTTGGTAGCGGATTTGAAATGAGCTGGGTTGAATTGGATGAGGCATAGAGGAGGATGCAAGATGAGGGCCAGTGAGTGACTGAGGGTGGGATAGTAATTGCCTTGCGTAAATTAATATGCCGAGATAGATACTACATCCTAGAAGAAATTTCCTCTTCAAATGGGCATAGAAGGGAAAGTAAGTGAGCATAGGGAGTTAAGTCCAGAGGGGCAAAATCTCTGCATTGTCGCTGGCCCTCTGGACACTGCAAAGCCCATCTCAGGCTTTCTTGCTTGGTTACCCTTCCTGCTCGGGGACCCTAGACTCACTTGCTCCCCAGGAGCAAAGGTTTTTTTCACTTTACAAACACCAGGTTCCCGCCTTTGCTCTCGCACGCAGCCAGGAGGCTGGGGGGTGGGCAAAAGGGAAGCATGCCCAAGAAACACCGTGTTCCTTCGTCATTTGCTTTACAGCTATTCTGGCCTTCTCCAGTGACAAAGCTTTTTGTTTCTCTCTCCTCTCTTTTCAGTTCGATCAACATCAACACAGGCAAATCTCGGTGGGAAAAGCCAAAGCTTAAACGATGCAAATTGCTTCAAGAACTTCCTGATAAGATCGTGGATCTTGCTAATATCACTATAAGTGATGGTAAGACTGTTCTACAAACACTAGAGAAATAACGGAACCTTGGGTGGTTTGCCCACTTCACCTGAGACCAGAGAGAGGATAGGTGAACTTGGCAGTAGAAAATCTACCTCACAACAGTCCAATTTCAGAGACTAGGTAGTTAGTGTTGGTGGAGGTGAGACGAGGGAGTGATAAGTTAGGATTGTCAGTGTTTTTTTAATTTTATAATGGTTTCCATTTTTTAATTTTCGGCTCATTCTTTTGTTTCATCTTATTTTAACTTTTAAAAGGTTTTAATAGGTAGTTTACATAGCACCATATTGAAAAACCATAAAAGGATATACAGTGAAACATCGCCTTCCCACTGCTGAACCCAGCCATTCAGTTGATAGCCACAGAGGTATTTTATGCACCTGTAAGGAAATTTATATATATTTATATTTTATATAAATTTATAAGTTTATATAAATTTATGTATGTACACACAATACATATATTGTACATATATATGTATAGTCTCCTTCCAGTTTGTACACAAAATGGGGCATGCTGCACCTGCTGTTCTATTCCTTGCTTTTTTCTCTTAATGATGGTGTGCAGAAATTATAACAGTCTATGAAGACCTTCCTCATTTTTTTTTCACCACACTAGACTATACTGTGTGGATATGCCTCATTATTCCTTCATCCTGCTGCCTATGGATAGTCTTTTAAGTTTTTAATAATATTTTGTTTTTTTAAAAGCTGGTGTAATATATATTGCACATATATCATTTTGTGCAAGTGGGGTATGCTTGGAGCATAAAGTAGAATCACTGAGTCAGTCATACTTTTGATGGTGTCAAAATGTTCTCTGTAACAGTTGCACCGATTTATACTCCCACTTATAAGGTACGAAAGGGCCCGTTTCAGAACGTTTCATCAACACGGCATGTTAGACTTTTGGACCTTTGGTGATTTGATAAGCAGAAATTGCTATCTCAATGTAGTTTGAAAAATTTTTAAGAAGATACATACATATCATAAAATTAACCCATTTAATGTTTACAATTCTGTGGGGTTTAGTATATTTACTGGATTGTGCAACCATCACCACTAATTCCAAAACATTTTAATCACTCCAAAAAGAAACCCCATACACATTAGCAGTCACTCTCCATTCCCTCCAGACCCTGGAAACCTGTAATCTACTTTCCTTGTTTCTTCTCTTTGTTTTACATTTTGTAGTAAGAACACTTAAAATGAGATTCACTCTCTTGACAAATTTTTAAGTGTACAATATATTACAACTGCCTATAGGTACCATGTTGTACAGCATCTCCCTAGAACTTATTCATCTTGCTTAACTGAAACTTCGTGCCTGTTGATCAGTAACTTCCTCTCTCCCTCTCCCCTAGCCCTTGGCAACCACCATTCTACTCTGTGCTTCTGTGAGTTCAACTATTTTAGATTCCACAAACAAGTGAGATCATTCACTATTTGTCTTTCTGTGTCTGGCTCATTTCACTTAGTATAACATCCTCTAGGTTCATTTAGCATAATGTCCTCTAGGTTCATTCATGTTGTTGCATATGGCAGGATTTTCTTCTTTTTTGTGGTTGAATAATATTCTACTGTACGTACATAGTGTTTCCCCACTGTGTATTCTTGGCACCCTTGTCAAAGATCAGTTGATGTATACATGTGGATTTATTTCTGGGTTCTCTATTCTGTATGTCTGTCTTCATACTAGTACTATGCTGTTTTGATTACTATAGCTTTGTAATATATTTTGATATCAAAGTATGTGATGCTTATTATACTTTATCAAGATTGATTTGCCTATTCGGGGTTTTTTGTGGTTCCATATGGATTTTAGAATTGCTTTTTCTTTTTCTGTAAAAACTGCCATTGGCTAGACTAGTTCAGTAAAGTCTATTTCCCGGGCAGTGTACATCTTCTGATGCTCCTCCTTAGAAGATGCAGCACTGGACATGTACACATTTCCCTAGCCTAGGGATGACTGTGGTTCTAGCTGGGTTCTCTCAACTGTCTCTTTCTCCAATCTCCCCACTAACCTTCTGACTGGTCTGCCTCTATTTGTATCAACAGTTTTTAGCTTCCTAATTGCTAGTTGATTGTTCTGTTGTTTTTGACAAAACCCTGGGACATAAATTGCTCCACAGTCTGATCCAATTAAAGTCTGACCCCATGGCAGGGGCAGAGTATTGCCAGCCTTTGCAGCTTTCTCCTACCTTCCTCTGGGCAATACATCTGCCCTTTGGGGTAGGAGCTTGGTGGGAGTGGTAAATACACCCTTCACCAGATGCTTCACTGGGACCTTCCCTATGTATGAGTATTTGGGAGAAGGGGTACTTACTGCTGGCACTCAGCTGCTGCCACTGCCCAGTGTGGATCTGCCACAGCCTAAAGCTGGAAAGATGGGAACTGCCAAAGTTCACTGGCTGTCAAATCCACTCAGAATGATTCTTCCATCCCAGGGACCTGGGACAATGGTAACTGCCACATGGCTGCCGAGTCCAGTGGAACAATTCTTCTTCCACAAGTCAGAGCTTTGGGGGATGGGTGCAGTTCCTAGCTCAAATGCTTGAATAAATGCATCTCAGTTTGTTGTAAGATCTCCCTCCCATCAATCTCCAGAGACTTTGGACGATTGTCTTTGCTAATTCTGACCAGCAGAATAGATGTCTCTCAAGGTAAACTCTACCCAACCCCTCCTTACAGCACCATTGTGAAAGTCCTGCCCCTCTTTATGAGTGTTTTTTAGGTATGCAGAAAGGATTTCCTCAAACGACTTCAGTTTACAAACGCCCTGTCAGGCATAGCTCTCCTGCATAAAGTGGGTCCCTCCCATGATTCACTGGAAACTGAGGCATGGGCATTGTAGTGCCTTGCAGCAGAGCCAGGGACTTGCCTTGAGGCAACGAACTACTCAGACTTGTCTTCCTTACAGAAGATGTACCTTTGACATCCTTGCCAAGGAATATCTAGAAGAATTAGAAGAGCAATCAGGGCTCTGGTGGTTTCTAGATCTGAAATCCTAAGTCAAAGTGTTGCAGCCTGAGGTGAGTGGGCAGCAAGATAGAGAGGTCTGTGTCGCATGCTGACCCCCCTTCTTCTGAGTGACACATTTTTCTTAGACATGCTAATAGAATTTTCTCTGTGGAAGAAAAAAGTTAACAAACAACCTTAAGAACAACAAAAGTTTTATATGAAGTTGGAATTTTTAGAAACTTAACTGTCAGAAGTCACTTTATTAAAAAATTCTGCAGAGGCAGAGAACAGCCGAATGGTAGCTATGATGTATATAACTGGAAAATAAACTATCAAGCTTATTAGCTTTGGAGGAAGCCTTCTCTTGTACCTTAAGAGTTTCATAAAAGATAAGTACAACGTAAAGGAAAAAAAGTGCATTCATCATGTTGAAACAACTTTTCATTAGCTTTCAATCTTGCTGGCAAGTATTAGGTATCTTGGTTGGACAAAAAACTCATCAGTTCCCCCAGGTGAATACTCATTTCACTTAAGTCCTTAACATCACAGAATTAGAAAATGTGTCCTTATTTCAAAAGTCTGTCCGTTCTTTGCTGTACCCAATTTTTGTTACCTCCATGATATTGAGGATGCATCACCCTCTAATGAAGTTGGTGGGGACATTTTACAAAACTGTCCTGTCTATATCCATCCTACCATCAGGGTGGGACAATGTGTGACTGAGAGGGAACAATGTAATTCCCAGGGTGACAGAGAGAAGGACTGCAAAGCACAGCTGCTCCAACCCCCAACACCATGCAGAAAAGGGACAAGGGCATGGATGTTATAGTACAGTGATACTGAAGAACGCTAGCTTTGGAGTCAAACAGTCCTGGATGAAAATTGGGGTTAGAACTTCTGTGTTTTAATTTTTTAAATCTGTATAGAGAGGATAATAGCTGTAGCCACCATATAGGGTTATTGTGACATCAAATGAGAAAATGATGTATAATGACTTGCTGTGTTTTCATCTCCAAAATGCCCACCATTGATTAACTGGTAGTTGAAGCAGGGCTGGCTTGTGACTGCTTAGCCCAATAGGATGTGGCAGTAGTGACACTGTGCCAACTATGAGACAAACTTTTCTTTATTCAAGTATCATTGATACACAATCTTATATTGGTTACAAATATATAACACAGTGGTTCAACAGTTACCCACTTTATTAAACCCTCAACCCCACTAGTGTGGTTACTATCCATCAACATAGAAAGATGTTACAGAATCATTGGCTATGCTCTCCATGCTGTACTACCATCCCAGTGACCAACTTATGTTATGATTGAGAATTTTTGTGCCCTTTTATACCCCTCACCCTCCCCGTCCAGTATTATTGCTGACTTTTTGAAGATATGACACTGGTATAGTGGTAGCAATAACAAAGGTCCTTTTTTTTGGAAATGCATACCAAATATTTATGGATGAAATAATGTAATGTCTGGAATTTGCTTTAAAATGATCTGAGATTGGGGTAAAGTGGGTGGGAGCGAAGGTGAAATAAGATTAGTTCTTCATTGATACTTGTTGAAGCTAGGTGATTCATGAGGTGTATGGGGATTCATTAAATTATTCTTCTCACTTTTGTGCATGTTTGAAAATTTTCATAATAAAAAGTGAAGGAAAAAGTGGGTGATTTAATATCTACTGTTCTTACTCTCTAGAAAAATCTAAATTCAGTTGTTTTTTTTTAATTGTTATGTGGTCCATACTTACTTTTTTTCTGTGAGTTGCTGGCTCTTGATAGAAAAATGTAATCACCACCCTTGATTATGAAAACATAGACTGAGTGTTGCTGATATTTGAGTACAGGTAGAACCTACTTAACTCAATCCCATATTCAAAAATCTGAACAATTAGAATCTAATTGCAAGATAATTTTCAGTAACAAAAAGGTTTCCCTGGTGTATTTTAAAAAGGATGTAATGAATAAAAACTTGACTTATGTGCTACTTTCTGGGACTCCATCTGTTATGGAAATTGAGGCCCAATGTCATCCTTCTGTAAACTTTGCTACTTGCTATGTATTTCCATTTCATTGCCTTTACTTCTTAAAGGGAAGGAAGCAGACCCCACACCGAGCAACGCAGGTTTTACATTTCAATTTTCTGTCCCCAGAGAATGCAGATGATGTTGCAGAGCACATTTTAAATTTAATAAATGACTCCGCCCCTCTGGATGAAGAAGAAACAAAGATAATTGTTTCTAAAATATCCGATATTTCACAATGTGACGAAATAAGTATGAACCTAACCCAAGTTATATTACAAATAATCAGTGCTGTTTTGGGAAAGCAAAGTAATTCGTCATTTGAGCTGCATGAAGTAAGCAATGAGTAAGTGCTGAAACTTTGGTAAAATTAATAATTCCGTAACATGTAAAATATCTGTTATTAATTCCTTCACATACAGTCTTCACCAGTTTTAAAGGTCAGGTAGCTTTGTGTGCACAGCTCAGTTAGTACAGTGCAATACGGTCACCCTACTCAAATCCCAACTGTGAAAGAATGCATTCAAATTCTAACTGAACCTTATGATAGCAACTTGGCAAATACATAGTTACCCCAAACCAAATCTCCAATCCATTTTCCCAGCCCTGGTGCTCCCCGAATGTTCCCCATTGCTATAAAATACATCCACCCACCGCTTAGGCAAAAAACTTGAGAATAATATGAGTTACCTCCCTCTACCTTAGGGCCAGTCAATAACCAAGTCTTTCATGAGGCACTGTACATAAATTTTAATCCCTTAAAAAATCCTACAATCCATCTACTTTCCCCCATTTCCACCACCACCTTAGTCCAGGCCACATTTCTCTCAGCTGACCTTCTTCAATGACCTTGTAACTGGTCTCCCCGACTCTACTCTTGCCCACTTTGTACATAACTATGGTCTATCTTTTGCCTTGCAGCCAGAATGATCTTTTAATGCATATACCTGGCCATGTCATTTTCTTGCTTTTAAATCTGCTCAGTGGCTTTCTGTTATATGTAGAATAAAATCCAAATTTCTTGGCCTCTGAGGCCCTGCATAAGATCTGGCTTTACATATAACAATGTCATTTAATTTTTTAAATAATCTTTTGAAATGAGTGCTACTATTGCCTCAACACTGCAAATCAGGAAACTGAAGCTCAGTGAGGTTATTTTATTGGACAGCACAGTTAGAAATGACAGGAGCTAAGATTTAGACCTCTGCCTGACTCCAAAGCCAGGGCTCTTATCCAGTAATTCCTAAACAATAGGAAGATAATGATTAGTATGGAAATAACTTACATTGAAAAAACTCTTACACTGAGGAAATCTTGTAAGGAGGATGGGCTTTGCATTAAAAAGATAGGAATATTCTTGTCTACCTGCCATTCCTTGCAGAATTCTGAGGATAATAGAGCGTGCTGGTCACAAGATGGAGTTTTCTGGGAAGACAGCAAATCTGACGGTGGCCAGCCTGGCTTTGGCTGTCCTGCGTGTGGACCACATTTTTGAAGGCATGGCCTTCAGCATTCACTCCTATGAAGAAGGCACAGACCCTGAGGTGAGTGCAGCTCAGGGAACTGAGAGCCAGTCAGCCATGCACTCTTCCAAGTCTTCATTTACTCCTTGGTGGGACAGAGGCTGTTTTGCAAAGGCTTTAATCTTTGGAAGACCTTATGAAAATACAAATATCCAAGGGACAATTTGTACATAACCCTTAGTAAGCTAACACCTTGGCTGTCGTGGTGTCCATGAGATGGGCAATGGTACCACCTTTGACTCTGTGACCTGAAATCATTTCAGATGTCAGTTTATTATTAGCTACCACTTATGGAGCACTTATAATATATTGGGCATTGTGCTACTGCCTCCTTTGTACAAATAAGGAAACAGAAAAGTTAAGTAACTTGCCTAAGGACACACAGGCTCATGGTAGAACCAGGATTCAAACTTATGTCTGGCTGGCTTTGAAGTCTGGCCCCTTTCCACCACACTACACAACCTCAGTTTTTGACAAGTCATATGCCGCCAACTCCTGCTCAGAACAATTTGGGAGAGGAACATTTTTTTATTTATAATTTAAAAAGTTATAAGATTTACACATGGAAAAGTGCACAAATTCTAAGTATATACTCTCTGAATTTTGATACATGTGTACATCTGTGTATCTCAAAACCCTATCAAAATATAGAACACTACTACCACCCCTAAAGTGTCCATCATGCCCCTTCCCAGTCAATCCCTGAAAATGCTACTACCTCCATTGGTAACCACTCTTCTGGTATTTTTCCACCATAGCTTTGCCTGTTCTAGAACTTTATGTAAATGAAATCATATAATATGTACTGTCTTGCATAAGGTTTCTTTTTATAGCATAATGGTTATTCTTTTTGAGATGCATCCTTTTGTTTCCATAGTTTATTTCTTTTTATTGCTGAATAATATCCATCATGTGGATATACCACCAATTATGTATTCTTTTGTTGATGGGCATTTGGATTGTTCCCAGTTTGGGGCTATTATGAGTAATGCTGCATTGAACATTTGTGTAAAAGTCTTTGTGTGGGCATACGTTTTCATATATCTTGAGTAAATACCTAAGAATGGAATTGCCAGCTCATAAGATGTATGGTTAAATTTATAAGAACTTGTCATACTGTCTTCTAAAGTGGAGTGATTTTTTACTTTTGTATTGGCCATGTGTATATCTCCTTTGGTGATGTATCTGTTAAAATCTTCTACCTGTTTTTAAATTGGCTTGTCTTCTTATTACTGAGTTGTAAGGATTTTTTACATATTCTGGAAATAAGTCATTTATCAGATATGCTTTGAACATATTCTGTCCGTGGCTTGCCTATGCATTTCCTCAGTGGTGCCTTTTGATGAGATTAAGTTTTAGTTTTAATTAAGTATAACATCAGTTTTTTTCTTTGATGAATAACAATATATGACTTGTCTAAGACATTTTTGCCTCCCAGCAAGTCATGAAAATATTTTCTTATGCCTTCCTTTAAAAGCTCTATAGTTCTAGCTTTTATGTACAGGAGTATAATCCTAATCAATTGAATTAATATTTTTGTATGGTGTGATATATGGTTTGGAGTGTGTTTTGTTCCATGTAGATATCCAGTTAATCCAGCACCACTTATTGAAGACTTTTCAATAAAGTGGCTTGTTTTGGCATCTTTAACAAAAAAGTCAAATACTCATGAAAATGTAGGTCTGTTTCTGAGCTTTCTAGTTGGACCTTTTTTTTTTTTTTTGTAGATTCTGATGCCTTTGCCACACTGTCTTGATACCTGTAGTCTTGAAGTAGGTGGTATGAGTCCTTCCACTGTTCTTTTTCAAGATTGCTTTCGTTATTCTAAGCCTTTTGTAAATCCATATGACTCTTCAGATTTGCTTATTCAATTTGTACAAAAATAACTTGCTGAAATTATGATTGGGATTGAATTGAAGCTATTGATCAATTTTGGGAGAATGGACTTCTTAATAATATTGAGTCTTCTAATTCAGGATTAATTTTTCCAATTATTTGCTGCAAGTATATAAAATAAAATTAATATTCTATGCCTATCTTATCTCTCATCTATCTATGTAAATTTTATATCGTATGAATTTGCTAAACTCACCTATTAGTTGTAGTAGTTGTTTCAGAAATTCCTTAGGACTTTCTATGTAATGTCATCTGACAGTAGAGGCAGTTTTATATCTTCCTTATTGATTTTTATTCTTTTTCTTGCCTTATTTTGATATTAGAAAATAATGAATAGAAGTGATAAAGTGGGTGCCCTTGTTCTTGTTTTTCTTCAGGAGAAAGAATTTTACCATTACTGTGAAACATGTTTTTGTTTTGTTTCTTAAATACTCTTTACTTGACTGAGGAAGTTACCTTCTGTTCCTAGTTTGATGCAAATTTTTATTATGAATGGCGGTTGTACTTTGTCAAATGGGTTTCTGTATCTCTTAAGTAATCATTTGGCCTTTTTCCCTTATTCTTCTATATGGTGAATTACATAGATTATAGGAGACAAACCAATCTTGCATTCCTGGAAGAAACCCTACTGGTCATGACATTATCATTTTTACATAGTGCTATTTTCAACTTGCTTATGTTTTAAGTACTTTTGCACTTATGTTCATGGAGGATGTTGGTCTGAAATTTTCTTTTTCTCTAATTTCTTTATCAGTCTTTAGATTAAGGTTTTGCAAACTTTATCAAAGTAAGTTGGAAAATGGTCCCTCATCTCCTTTCAGAAAGAGTTTGTATAACATTGGTGTTCTCTTTTCATTAAGTGCTTGATAGGGTTCACTTGGAAACTCTCTGGGTCTGGAATTTCTTTGTGGGAAGTATTTAATATCAAATCCAATTTATTTAATGGATTCATCTGTGTCTATTTTAGTTAGTTATATTTTTCTAAGAATTTATTTTATCTAACTTGTCAAGCTTGTTGGCAATCCCCTTATTATTTCTTAATTCCTGTATGATATATAGGAGTGGTCAGCAAACGTTTTCTGTAAAAGGCAGCTGTATATATTTTAGATTTTGTATCTACTATTCTCCCTTCCTCCTCCCTCCCTCCCTCCCTCCCTCTCTTCCTTCCTTCCTTCCTTCTTTCTTTTTCCCACCCTTTTAAAACTGAAATTCAAAAGCCATCCTTAGCTTGAAGCATGCAAAAATAGGTGGTCTTGGGTAGGATTTGGCCTGCTGACCAGTTTGTTAATCTTTGATCTATAGTAATAATCTGTCTTTCATTCTTGATATTGATCATTTCTTTTCTAGCTCTTTTTTTGTGATCAGTATAAGCTAGAGATTTTTCAATTTTGTTGATCTTTTCCAAGAAACAACTTTTGGCTTTGTTAATTTTCTACATTGTATGTTTTCTATTTTGTTGATATCTCTGCTCTTATCTTTATTATTTCCTTTTTTGTACTTACTTTAGGTTTACTTTACTCATCTTTATTTAGTTTCTTAAAGTGGACCCATAGGCCATTCATTTAGACCCTTCTTTTCTAATATAATCATAAAAAGCTATAAATATCTAAGTACTGCTCTAGCTGCAGTCTGCAAATTTCGATATGTTTTATTTTCATGATCAGTCACCTCAAAATATTTCCTACTTTCTTCCATAGATCATTCAGGAGTGTGTTCCTTTTTATATATATACAGTCTTGTATTGATTTCAAATAAACAACACAGTGATTCAACAGTTACCCATATTATTAAATCCTTACCCCCTCTATTGTAGATGCTATCTGTCAACATGAAAGATAATACAGAATCATTGACTATAATCTCCATGCTGTATTACTATACCCATGAACAACTTATATTAAGATTAAGAATTTTTGTGCCCCTTTATTCGCCTTGCCCTTTCCACCCACCCAACCCAACACTTTCCCCGTGGTAATCACTAGTTACTTCTCAGTGTCTATGAGTCTACTGTTCTGTTCCTTCTGTTTAGCTTTGTTTTTAGATTCCACAAATAAGTGAAATCATATGATCTTTGTCTTTCTCCATCTGGCTTGTTTCTCTGAGCATAATACCCTCTAGATCTATCCATGTTGTTGCAAATAGCAGGATTTCTTTTTTATGGCTGATTAATATTCTTTGTGTATATGTACCACATCTTCTTTATCCATTCATCTATTGATGGACACTTTGGTTGCTTCCATATCTTGTCTACTAAATAATGCAGCAATAAATGTAGGGGAGCATATATCTTTTCAAATCAGAGATTTTGTTTCCTTCAGGTAAATTCTTAGAAGTAGAATTACTGGGTCAAATGGTATTTCTATTTTTAGTTCTCTGAGGAGCCTCCACACTACTTTCCATAGTGGCTGCACCAATTGACATTCGCACCAACAGTATCAGAGGATTCCCATTTCTCCACATCCTTGCAAACACTTGTTATTTCTTGTCTTTTGGATAGTGGCCATTCTAACTAGTGTAAGTTGATATCTCATTGTGGTTTTGATTTGCATTTCCGTGATGATAAGCAATATGGAGCATCTTCTCATGTGCCTGTTGGTCATCTGTATTTCTTCTTTGGAGAAGTGTCTGTTCAGGTTCTTTGTGTATTTTTTAATAAGGTTATTTGTTTTCCTGGTGTTGAGGCATATGTGTTCTTCATATATTTTAAATGTTAACCCTTTATCAGATAAATCATTTACAAATATATTCTCCCATACTGTAGCTTACCTTTTTGTTCTGCTGCTGGTGTCCTTTGCTGTACAGAAGCATTTTAGTTTGATGTACTTCCACTTGTTTATTTTTGCTTTTGTTTTCCTTGCCTGAGGAGATATATCCAGGAAAAAAATTGCTCATACTTATGTTCAAGAGATTTTTGCCTACATTTTCTTCTAAGAGTTTTATGGTTTCATGGCTTAACTTAGGCCTTTCATCCATTTTGAGTTTACTTTTCTGTATGAAGTGTATGTGTACAGAGAGTAATCCAGTTTCATTCTCTTGCACGTAGCTGTCCAGTTTTCTCAACACCAGTTATTGAAGAGGCTGTCTTTTCTCCATTGTATATTCACATCTCCTTTATCATATGTTAG